GTGTGTGAGAATATGATTTAAATTGTAAGCTACTGAGGTTATTCATTAAGCGAGGTAAGGAAATGAGAAAAAGAAGTGCTGAATTGTGATGAAGCTGTAGTGAAGACGCTTTTCAAGGACAGCTTTTGATACTTTTTTCCTACAAAAATGAATTTAATTGTGCAGAAGGGAAATGACGTATGAGGGCGTCATCCATTCGTGCGACTGCGAGTGATACTTTCCAACATTTATGGTAAATACTTGGATAGTGTAAACGGTTGAGAAAAAAGAGTAATGTTATTCATTTTTTCTTCCTATGATGGAACATTAAATTTTTTTATTTTATATTTCGCTATTAGTCAAGCTATAAGTGAATAAAACTATAAGTGAATAGTTACGATCAATCATCTTACATTTTGTATAAGTGAAATTGGATTATAGTTCTTTTCAGTTATCAAATTGAAAACAAATTTATCTGTTCGAAGTTGGAATTTATATCCTGTGGTCAATTTATCTGTGTAAATATTTAGTACGAGATAAGATTATCACATATCGTTTCTTTAAATTTCAACAGTATCAAATCTGATTTCTTTTTTTCTTTTCCCTTCCTATTCCCTCTCCCGTTTCTATTCAGTTCGAAATTTTTGAAATGTTCGCTTTGATGAAAAACAAGTGATTTGTTGCGGCGCGTTGTTAGTTTGATAAAAGCAGTTTTTTCACAAAAATTTAAAAGTGCAGGAGTTTTTGAAAATTTTTTGTGCTAAACACCGGTAATTAAACACTTTTTTCGAAACATTTTAATCTTTTTTCAAATATTTTTTCAACGTAGTCTTTGTTTTCGCATTGTTTTTTTTTGTTTTCTTGTCAAATTTGAGAAATGAAATAAGACTATTGGAATTGGGAGCTACTAAGTACCCCAAGATTTGAAATTTTTGCTATTTTAAAAGATTAAAATTGAAAATGTAAGACATGTTTTTATCCAGCTGATGACTAACGTTTAAATCTAAGACATTTTTTTAAATCGTTGGCTAATCTGTCAAATTTGTAATTTGCGATATATTTTCCACAAATCTGTAATTATCGCTCTGGATGAGTTGTTCAGGTAAAAGCTGGCAATTGATTTGCATTTCATCACAAATGCATAAAAAAATTGGAGAGTGAAACGAGCTTTTCACTCGTGGGAGTAAGACCTAAAAATGCTAAATAGCATTGTAGAAATCACTGAAATTTTATCAGTTCTTCCTTTTTTCTTCTTGCATTTTATGATTCTATATTATTGTTTTCCATCAGTATTCCTTTTTTTATAATTAACATTTGTATTGTTTATCTTTTAATTTTCCATTTGCCTTCATCTTTGTAATACTTTTATCATTCTGTGCCTTTCATTCCACTTTGTCAAATTTTATTGATCAATAACTTTCACAATTATTTTTTTTCGAATAATCATTTTTGACTCGACCAAAAAACTGCTAAATGATTAATCGATTAATAGGATGTGAACTTCCGTTTCAATTGTATAATTACCTGTGCTTTATAATATTCTTCATTGAAATGATGAAGATAGGCGCCTGATGGCTAATTCACTACATTGAAAGGAAATCTTCGGTAATTTCTTTCTTTTTGTTTGAATAACACTGGATATCAATGAGTGAATCATCCTTCCTTCGAATGCATTGATATAAATGGATCATATTCCTTATTGGCTTCCAGATTATTATTGCCTAGTATTGTCATCATGAAATATTGTGTTTCTCCTTTTCAATTTTTTATTATTGAATCCCAAGAGTGGAAATATAACTATGTGACAAGGAAGAGGAGAAAAATGGGGAGGATGAATTTATAGATTGAGACATTTAAATATATATGAAAAACTGGAAATTTTTTAAAACAATTTGATTCCATAATGTTTATATAGGATGATACTATGTACTAAACAAAAGGGAAGGGATGATTTGATCCGATGCGTTGTTTGTTTTTATTAGATTATTGCCAGTACCTGTACTGAAGAAATAAGTCCGAGCATTTGTGATCTTTTATTGTCTTTTTATTTGAATTAGTTTACATGAAAAAGTATAAACTGTGAGTATAGACCAATGATAGTATCATATAGATGTTTGAAAATATCAACAACTTGACATTCCAGATGTGATATTTATCTACCCATATCCCACGTCATGTTTATCTACCCATATACCATACGTTGTAGGGTTATTCTTCATATCTTAGTAATTTTAGTAATGATTTATAATTGTCAAAGACGTTCATAGAGATAATATAATTGTGGTAATATTTTGATCTTACATGAATTGTTCAGTGTGTACGGAACAAGAAAAATGATGAGAAGTTTGCGAAAAACATAATAAGGAAATGCCATTTGTTTCTTTTTTCCCTTTATATTGTCTTATTGGCTATTAAGAAATAAGAATGAAAAAAATGAAGGCTATGAGCATATTTTGATTAATAGACTTTTCATACAGTGTTTCTATGCTTTGTTTCTCTTTTTTATTGCACATTGTTCACTTTCAGACAGCTTTTCCGGTCGTAGTCTGTCGATTTCGTTTGAGTTTCGATTTTGCTATCCATCGGTAGTTGGGCGTAATTGCGCAATATTTAATAGTTATTAACATTATCCAGTGTTTTCAGCAATCTAGCTATATGTATATATATAACGTTGTATGTTTGTCATTGGATATCCTCTCCTTCATTTATATTTCACTAAAGACAGTCGCTGTATTGTCAGGACATACTACAATGTACGTGCCTGCAAAATTTTCGCCCTTTTCTCGAAAACGATGCCATTTATCAATTTGATCTATCAACAATCAGCCTTAACCATTGAGCAAGCCAGTGACAGCCGGCACAACACTACTACGAATGTATCTGTCCTTGTCACCTCACCATCTTCATCTTCTTGTATTCTAATCAGTGCGCATTTTGATTATTTGTGTTTTCTTCTTTCACAATTTTGATATTTGATTTTAATTCTTCCTGTATGTTTCTAGTATGTGTATGTTCTCGTCTGTATGTTGTTGTTGTTGATGTCAGATCAATAGCAACGATGACGATGAGGCAGGTGTATGTTTAGTTGGGGTGGATGAGAATTGACAGCTGTAGAGGACGACGTTATGTCGTATCATTGTTACCTTACACCATTCATTCCTTCAGCACTGTTTGCACATGATTCTGAAAACTCGAAAAATGTTGCACATCGAAGAGAAATTACGAGGATGTTGATAATGAGTGACAATAAAAAGAGGTGTAAGAGAAAGAGAAGAATGAAAGTTATGGAAAATGGATATGAAATTGGAGACGCACAGAAGTGAGGTATTACAAACTGTAGTGGTTGGTTGTTTGTCGAAGCTTGTAACAAACCATTATGTACCTTTTGTCATCCTCACTCTTCCATACATTCCTGCTCTCTTTTCGACTTGACTCTTGGTTTGTTCGTAATGATGACGAAATAATGATGTGGTAATAACTGTGACAGTGATGAAGAGTTATTGACGGTGAATGATGACAGCCATGGTGATGATGAACTACTGGTATGTCGATGATGATGATCATGATGATCGTCGCCGTTGTCTTTCACAGTTCATTTTCACCACTGTTACTTCGTTCCATATTACTGCTTATATTTTTCTATCAATGATCTTACATAAGTAAACTGTATTTACTCATTCCTAAAAAAAGTGGTTTCTCAAATTTGCTAAAAAGATCTTTAATGATTGATATCGTATTACTACTTATAACTGCCTGTATGCTAATAATATACTTAATATGGAAAGAATTGATGACACTATAAAAGGGAGAATTCCTTTTTAGTTTTCGCTTTCTTCCATGTACACTTATTTTGTGCTTTAATTGTCATAACAGTGTTACTGAATATATCCAATGTTTATGAGTTGTAGATGATTTGTGTAGATAATTGAAAAAAATACAAATAATAGAACGAATGAGATGGTGTACAACATTCATAACAAAGTATGTTATGAATGTTGTATGCCATCCCATTCGCAGTACTTTTTATAGACGATGCATTCCAGTGTATCGCAGATACGTCATTTTAGTTGTGTGTAATGAATTTGTGTCAAAAATTTGGGTCAGTTTATTTGTTTTATTCTTCACGATTGTTACAGTTTTTTTGGTGGATAATTCTTTTTTTTAAAGATTGAGATAGTCTTTCCGGCATATTCTTCTTGGATATTCCTTTTTTTTTTATTTTGAGGCGACAGGCGACTGAGAACATATTTGGATGTAGCGAAGGATGGAATATTGTCAAGGTCCCATTTTCTCTATCCAAGTAAACGAGAATCGGAAAATTTTAATCATGAAATCAGAATAACATCACGATTGATTCATGCTTTTTTTTGGAATCTCGTGATATATGTTACAGGTGGCTAGAATATTAATAGCTAGAAGACTAGAATATTATTACATCTTTACATGAACATAGTACTTCTTTTGGATCTTTTTCTTCCTTTGCTACATTCTGCGATTAGTTAGTTCCCTTTTTTACATGTAATAGTAATTTATTCTGCACACATTTTTGCGCGAAGTTCCCAAGAATTTTTAGGTGTCCAAGGATTTGAGGAAAACAATTAAAAATGGTTGAAATATACAATAATAATGCAGTTAAAGAGAGCTTTGCTAACTAGAGAACTTTAGACAAGATTTATCGCGAAAATACTAGCTTATCGGCTTTAAGATTCTAGTTGAAAATTGGTCTGCATTTCGGCGTGTTCAGCTATAATAATTAGTACAAAAAAGCATTCATTTGTCAAAAACATCTAGCTTTAAAATGAACGTTTTCGGATAACCTTTGTAAAGTATTAATATATTAGATATGTCAATCTAAGATATTGTTTTTAATCAACAGAAAAAAAATTTATTTACCATCCAAATATTACTAGCCGATTAGTTCTATTAATGATTGTGAAATTCGGAGATTGTTCAGTGGGAAGTTCTGAAAGTACTTCATACTATATTATTTATTATTTCGAGCATTTAATTGTGAAAATAGTAAATAAATATAAGATGACACAGATGACAAATAGTTTTGATTCGGTTTATGACGTCATTTTTTATTCTGTGGAGAATATTTGATTGAATTGTTGCTTTCCGTAGATTATATTTTCATAACATTATCCATTCAAAGTAGAAAATTTCAGAGCAAGAATTGAACTGTAGAGAAATACGGAATACACAAAGTGAACGTAGCGAGGGCGTTTGAACGACCAGAGCTATTTGTTTATTCTTACATAAAAATTTGAACAAGTCGGCTGTGTTGTTTGCTAAAAGGAAAAGAGACAGGTCTCATTTTGAGGCTTCCAGGTCTGTCGTTGTTTTCGCTTCACTATTAAAATTTTCAGCATAACTGATCATCATTAAGTCATGCGTTCCTCCTAAGATCGTTTTGTTATCACTGAGTTTTTTTAGTTCTTTTAAGATTGGCTATAGCTCTTCCCATTTTGATGTGGCGTGTATAAAAATTTTGCCATTTTTAAAGATGATGGAGAAAACAAGGGTAAGTAGTTAATATTAACAACAAATTTAAATAACAAACATTACTATCAAGTGCATCGGTTCGTATAAACAACCTTAAAAACGTGGCCGAAATTGTAATGTATATACATACCGTAATAAATCGATTTTTTTTCATTAAGAAAAGGCAAAGCTTGTTTTGTCCCTTGTAAATTTGATTTCCGGCTGATTTGCTTCCATGACTTGTGTTTTTATCTTTAATAGTTGTAAAAATTATCAGATATTTTGTATGAACAGTGGTAATTTGTTCTAGAAGGTCGCTGCTTCTCAATGTTGATGATGCTTGGAAGCCGCAGATATCGATGGTCTCTTTCAACGAACCATCCATACCTCATCCAGCAGCTGGTGTGGATGTCACGAATTTCGAAAGGTTTTTGTTTCCTCTTTTACTAATTTTTCAATACATGTGGCAAGAAACTTATTTTGAGATAAATTACAAATGAAATTTACCATTCGTTGCCCTTCAATGTAGGTAGTGCTATAAAGCCATAAGCGATTTAAATAATTCAAGTGATTATTTTACTTTTTTGCATATTTTATTTTCGTTAGTTCTAAAGTTTGTAAATAATGAGAAAAAGAAATGGCATCTTAGATTATGTGTTTTTTGCTAGTCGGAAGTCACTGCTTAAGGTAATATAAGGGCATATAAATTCAGGTTACTCACAGTTTATAAACTAAAGGTGGAAGAAATATTTTTTAGGGAAGAATTGCTTCAACGCCATATTTCAAAGTCAAAATTGTTGAGCCATGGACAGAGCTGCTCATTTTCTTTTTTGATATTTGCCATTCTTCTACAGCTGGAAATCGTATTTGTACCTGTCGGAGCAACTTTCTCTGATAAAGGTGAGCTGTGTTTGTATGAGTTTCCACACACTTTTCATTTCTCCAGTGGTTATGTGTCAATTTAAATTGCAGTGAAAATGGAAGAAGTCTCTTCTGGATGCTTCTAGTGTCACCATTTCATAGGTCTTTCGAAAAATTCTTTTTTCAATTTTGATTCAATCTGCTTATTTTGCTGCTTGCGAGCTTGATGTTCTATTTGTTTGACAAAATAATTATTGCTATTTTTATTATAGGTAAAGTCGAATATCCATTAGTAATTGACAACCGTGTCCGGCATCATAACTGGAAGCGTAGCATTGATCCATTGATTGGAGCCCAACAAAGGAGAAGCAGCGACTACAGAAGTAGTAGTAATAGTATAACTAGAATTAATGTTTTGAATACTACGTTATTAGGAAATGGAATCGATTTCGACAAGTGGAAGCATGCGGAAAGGTATTTATATATACGTATACATTTTTTAAAGTTTGTCACAAAATTTTATTTAATTAAAATTTGTTTCGCGGTAGCGATACCAATTTCCGATATTTGCTTACTTGATCCGTTTAAAAAGAGTTACTATGAAATCATTCTATTTGTTCAACGTTAAATTGGTTAGTCTACATGACATTTTTTTGTCCGATTACATTGTTCAAATTTGATTGTTACTTTCTTTCTTATTTTTGTTTTTGCTTTCTTTATTTTATTCCAAAAGTTTTTGACTTGTAGCTAAACTCATTTTATAGCATATCAGACAATCGACCGCAGCACTATCACAGCGAACAATTCGTGCTATTTACCTTCATCGTTGTTCATAACGGTCAGACCAAACTGTTCACGACAGAATCAGCTCACATATTTATAATGGAATTGCAACCTGAAGAAAAAATAATTGTAACATGTCGGGCCAGTTTACTTGGATTAGGCGAAGATATGGATGTAATGTGGTGGAAAGATAACGAATTCATAACTACAACTAATTCATCAGTCTTGATATTGAATGACCAAAATTTAGTGAGTAATGTTCGTGAACTTCGTAGTCTCAATTCTTTAATATGAGACAAAATTTCAGTCTAGCATCGCTGTCAAGTTACGTAGTTTTTCATCGGTAAATAGTAAATGGAATTTATGTAAAACAGCTCTCCTTGAAGTTCTTGTATGCTTTGTGCCGTATAGGAAAAAACTAAAAAGTCTGTGTTTTTACAGAAATATTGCTGTTTTTCACTTATTTATATATTTACATATGAAAGTAATCCTTGTCTTATTTTGAGTAACTGCGTAGGTTCCCATCTGTTTCAGGGATTATATAGATGTGTAGCTGATGTGGCGATTGTATCTACTGATCTCCTTGATAGTTATCTTTTAAGTAATCGGATAAAACGTTCGGCCGAAATGCCGCCTGGGAAAGTGCTAAGCAGTGCCTTCATAGTGAAGCGTGCCATACCAATTCATTTTACCGTTCATCCAAAAAAGTAATTTTTTCATTGGATTAATGATTTCTCGGTTACTGCATATATTTCAATTATCGATATTCAGTCGTTCGAATCAAGAGCATTATTGAAAAGGACACTATTCGTATACTTCAGAATGATCTTTACTTCAGCTCTCTTTATTTAACGTCATTTATCTCCTCAGCTTTCCTACCAAAATAAATTGTAGGGTAAATTGAGATTATATTGCTTGATGATAATATATTAGTTTTTGTAACAAAGAAGACCTCATCTTCTATTTCTACTTTCTTGTAATAGATTGCACTTAATATATTTCCAATGCGAAATACATTTTAAGAATTTGCTTATTTGATATAATTATCCAGTTTTGGAACGTGACAATGAAGCTCATTCAAATTGTTTTTCTTTTTCAGCTTAACAGTAGCACATAGTTCGATTTTCCGATTGGAATGTGCAACAGGTGGTTCAAGTTCTCAGCCAATTACATGGTATCACAATGACACAAAAATTCTAGTTGAGGCGAACAGAGATAATAATATCCATATGTGAGTGATTAATATATTCTTGTTAATCAACTTGAAACGCATTACTTATCTATTTGTTTTGTTTATTAGTTTCTATCCTGTTCTCAAATATGTCATATTAGTACAAGTCGAAAGCTTGCCACTTACTACAAGAAAATGGATTTAAAAGCAATTTTTTTTGGGACAGTTGCTTGTTTTCTATATTTCAACCTAATTTTTTTCTCTACAGTATTTTATACATCTTCAAACTCATGTTTGCAGATATACTATTGAGCATCATTCGATATTGCATTTGATGGGAGCAGATTTAAATGACAGTGGTTATTATCAGTGCCGTAGTGGAAGTATATTTAGTGATGTAGCAGTCGTAAATGTCACCTTTGACGAGGGTTTGTATAATTTTCCGATTGGTGATCGTTTTTGCTGTAATAATAAGTTGTTGTAGAAAGATTATGTTACATTTGTCCTTGATAATTTTCTTTTTTGATTTTGTTCTATTTCGTGGAGGAAGGGGTTAGAAAGACTGTGACAAGGACAATGATTGATTGGACTTTTCTTGCTATCTTTCGAGGAGTTCCATCATAATAGATCGCACAGAAAATTTTATTGTGAAAATTCAAGCTTATGTTACATTGGCCAGATATTTCTAAAGCTCAAAAAATTGCAGTATGGGATCGATTTGGTTAAATTATCTGTGCAAGTGTGTCTTTCAGATGGACATTCAGCTGAAGATTTGGTGACGTTAACGCATCTTCCGTCAGAATTGTTAGTTCCTCTTGGTGGAAGTGTTATATTGGAATGTCTTTTGTATGATCCACATTCAGCTTCATCATGGCATGTTGTAAATGAATATGGACAACCTATCCACAGTATGTTATTAGATTTGAAAAACATAAGAATAGTTTAAATGTAGTATAAGCA